AACAGCAAATAAATTATACATTATTTATATCCATATCAATAAACTTCGTATTTACAAACGCACACGCACACACATATAATATTAATATATATATATATATATATATATATATATATATATATATATATATATATATATATATATATATATATATATGTATATATATATATATGTATATATATATATATATATATATATATATATATATATATATATATATATATATATGTATATATATACATATATATATACATATATATCAATAGTAAAACGTTCTGTGTTGATACTATGGTAGAAAAAAACATAATGTACCAATTAGTGTTTTTTTTACCATATATATATATATATATATATATATATATATATATATATATATATATATATATATATATATATATATATATATATATATATATATATATATATATATATATATATATATATATATATAAATATATATATATATATTCATATATATATATATATATATATATATATATATATATATATATATATATATATATATATATATATATATATTCATATATATATACATATATTCATATATATATATATATATATATATATATATATATATATATATATATATATATATATATATATATAAATATATATATATATATTCATATATATATATATATATATATATATATATATATATATATATATATATATATATTCATATATATATATATATTCATATATATATATATATATATATATATATATATATATATATATATATATATATATATATATATATATATATGTATTCATATATATATATATATATATATATATATATATATATATATATATATATATATATATGTATATATATACATATATATACATATATATCAATAGTAAAACGTTCTGTGTTGATACTATGGTAGAAAAAACCATAATGTACCAATTAGTGTTTTTTTTACCATAAATACATATATATATATATATATATATATATATATATATATATATATATATATATTCATATATATATATATATATATATATATATATATATATATATATATATATATATATATATATAAATATATATATATATTCATATATATATATATATATATATATATATATATATATATATATATATATATATATATTCATATATATATATATATATATATAATATATATATATATATATATATATATATATATATATATATATATATATATGTATATATATACATATATATATACATATATATCAATAGTCAAACGTTCTGTGTTGATACTATGGTAGAAAAAAACCATAATGTACCAATTAGTGTTTTTTTTACCATATATATATATATATATATATATATATATATATATATATATATATATATATATATATATATATATATATTCATATATATATATATATATATATATATATATATATATATATATATATATATATATTCATATATATATATATATATATATATATATATATATATATATATATATATATATATATATATATATATTCATATATATATATTCATATATATATATATATATATATATATATATATATATATATATATATATATATATATATATATATATATATATATATATATATATATATATATATATATATATATATATATATATATATATATATATATATATATATATATATATATATATATATATATATATATATATATATATATATATATATATATATATATATATATATATATATATATATATATATATATATATATATATATATATAATATATATATATATATATATATATATATATATATATATATATATATATATATATATATATATATATATATATATAATATATATATATATATATATATATATATATATATATACATATATTCATATATATATATATATATATATATATATATATATATATATATATATATATATATATATATATATATATATATATATATATATATATATATATATATATATATATATATATATATATATATATATATATATATATATATATATATATATATATATATATATATATATATATATATATATATATATATATATATATATATATATATATATATATATATATATATATATATATATATATATATTATATATATATATATATATATATATATATATATATATATATATATATATATATATATATATATATATATATATATATATATATATATATATCTATATATATATATATATATATATATATATATATATATATATATATATATATATATATATATATATATATATATATATATATATATATATATATATATATATATATATATATATATATATATATATATATATATATATATATATATATATATATATATATATATATATATATATATATATATATATATTCATATATATATATATATATATATATATATATATATATATATATATATATATTCATATATATATATATATATATATATATATATATATATATATATATATATATATATATATATATATATATATATATATATATATATATATATATATATATATATATATATATATATATATATATATATATATATATATATATATATATATATATATATATATATATATATATATATATATATATATATATATATATATATATATATATATATATATATATATATATATATATATATATATATATATATATATATATATATATATATATATATATATATATATATATATATATATATATATATATATATATATATATATATATATATATATATATATATATATATATATATATATATATATATATATATATATATATATATATATATATATATATATATATATATATATATATATATATATATATATATATATATATATATATATATATATATATATATATATATATATATATATATATATATATATATATATATATATATATATATATATATATATATATATATATATATATATATATATATATATATATATACATATATGAATATATATATATATATATATATATATATATACATATATATATATATATATATATGTATATATATATATATATATATATATATATATATATATATATATATATATATATATATATATATATACATATATATATATTCATATATATATATATATATATATATATATATATATATATATATATATACATATATATATATATATACATATATATATATATACATATATATATATATATATATATATATATACATATATATATATATATATATATATATATATATATATATATATATATATATATATATATATATATATATATATATATATATATATATATATATATATATATATATATATATATATATATATATATATATATATATATATATATATATATATATATATATATATATATATATATATATATATATATATATATATATATATATATATATATGCCTTTTTTATAACATTCCCCTAACACTTCAGTACACTCGGATACATGGTTGCCCTTTCGCGAAAATTTATGGAACCTGTTGAAAGTGTATGCCTTCACCTTGAAATGGTTTGGTACACACCGGCCAGCCAATCAAAGGTATTTTTCAGATATATTTCACGTAGTCTCAGATGGGGATTTAGTATTTTCATGAATTACGTATCACATCGTAAGTTTCTCGATCGATAGTCAATCATGGCGGTCGCTGGAACGACATGGTAAGGATTTGCAACGTGTCCGAGTCATATGACGTGGTTTTGACGTCGGTGGATGAATGTCTTCAAAATCATTATGTACGTCTATGATACAACCATACAAACTCAAAATATCAAAGAAAATATTATGTACCTTGATTTGTTGATAGACTTTAATCATTGAATTAAGTAAATGTCTTTAATCATTGGAATCGCCCAGTTGCCTGATTTGGACACCGAACTCCCTCGCGGTGGATAAGATAAGATCCAAAACCTCATGCAACTTTCATTTTTCATATGAAGAACAATGGATGTAATAAGAAAAATATTTTGACTGAATCTGAAAAATACATTTAAACTTTCCACAGTCTTGCGAAACGAAGAGTGGCGTGTATAAACAATATAAGTTACAGAGTAGCCATGTACATTTTCCAGCTTATCTGAAGCTTCCACAATTTTTTTTTTTTTTTTTTCTAATCACACCAGCATATTGGGCACTAATAGTAATAATGACTTTTTCATGTGAACTAAGATTTGATGTAGGAGATGACGGGGAACAGAGGCACGGCCGGCTTATGGGTTTTTGGTTGCCCACAGAAATATTCATTCTCCAAACTGAACTACCCCCACCGCGTTCTCGAAGTCGTTATCCAGGGCGTGACGTACTTTCTACCACGTCTCCACTCCTAAAGAAACTTCTCACCTGCCCTTTACTGAGATCTCTCTCCCTTGCCCTCTTCACCCTTTCAACTGCAGACTTATCTTTCACCAGGTGAACACTTCGACGCAACCTAGTCAACGTTATCCCTCCCTCTACCTCGAAGGTGGGCACCTGTGCTGTTCCTTATGTCTCCTGAGATAAGCAGTACTTTGGTGAGACAGGCGCTAGTCTCACCATAAATACGTTGTATTCAGGGGACACTACAACGCCCTCTTCTGCTATCCGTGGGACACAAATGGATTAGTCGACTGCGCGATGATATCCGCGCCTGCACCTAATTTCAACTTGAACACCGGCTTTTCTCCTGCCGACAATCTCTTCGCTTCCCACACTCTCCTATCTTCCTCTTCAGACCTGAAGATGAAATCCAGGAGGATTTCAAAACTGCTGTCTAATTCTTAATAGATCTAGTTTGTGCATTGTAGTTTTTTTTCTACCATATATATATATATATATATATATATATATATATATATATATATATATATATATACACATATATATACGTACATACAGGGCCGGATTATGACCTTTTGGGGCCTCTAGGCTAATAAAAT